ACATATCTAAAACAGTTATCTCTTTTTATAAACTTAAAAAACGAAGAGCTCTAGCTGACCCAAGTAAGGGAACTACAGGCCTAACCAAGCATGGCAAACATGGCCTTTACCCTTCTCCTTCCTACTGAAAAGCGTTAGATTGCATTCCTAAAGCTACCACCAAGGGCCATTCCCTTATTTGGCCACTGACTCATTCTTGAGACAAAACACCAAGGTCCAACAAACCAAATGCATTATTTAGCTACTATGTCCAATCAGGACCTACCAACTCACCCTAACACAAACTCCCCTTTTCTCCTTAAAACCCCACTCCTGTCTACTGCTTTTCAGCCTCCCCACCTACCCCACTTGCCCGTGAGGGCAATAAATCTTTGTTCTGAGAATTTGGTGTCTGAGTATGTCCTGTACCGATTCTTTTTGTTTTGATTTGTTGTTGTTTTTTGTTTTTCAAGACAGGGTTTCTCTGTGGCTTTGGAGCCTGTCCTGGAACTAGCTCTTGTAGAACAGGCTGGCCTCGAACCCACAGAGATCCATCTGCCTCTGCCTCCCAAGTGCTGGGATTAAAGGTGTGAGCCACCAACAGCCAGCATCCTGTACTGATTCTGAGGGGCCACCCTCCCTTACACCATGGCTCCCTGAGTTCATCCTGAGGTGGTTGCGTCCTCAGTCCTGGAATGCATAATTGGGACAGAAAGGGGTAAACTAATGAACCAGATCCTCACTCAGCCCCCTGCTTTAGCAGCTATGACAGCAGAAAAGACATGTAAACCCCTGACTCAGCACATGACACAAACTTCAGATTCCCTGGCCTCCCCAAGCCTAGGGCCAAAACTGAACACAAACCCTAGATCTCCTTCCCTCCCCCAGCCTCCTAGATGCCTGGTTCCTGGGAACTATTTGGCCACAAAAGTAACTCCAGGGGAGACCAAACCTCCCCTGTGGTCTCCAGGATACAGTTCTAAAAACTATTGGTATCTATGAATAACAGACACATGCAAGTAACAAGACAACACTGTGGAAACCACAGAATGTTCCCTCTCAGCACTGACCAGTGAGAATAATTGGCATACAGATATTTCATGCCAAAATATGACTTTGAGAAATTCCCCATTGTTCCCCAAATGCCAACCAATCAGAAATCAACCTGTTCCTAAATGTAATTATATGATGCCTTTAAAAACCTGACAGTAGACAGGAAACTCACTTCCTCTGGTGGCTGCTGCATCAGCCAGCTAGAGGAGCTCCCTGTCATGGTTGGATGAACAATAAACCTTATGCATTTGCATCAGTGGGTCTGTCTCTCCCTGGTGGTTGTTGGGGATCCTCATGACTTGGGCACAACAGAACAAATATACTTAAGAGCTGGCAGAATCCCCACATTAGTCATCCTATCTGCAGAGGGAGGAGGGCTGTTACTATTGACAAGGTCAGAAGGAATCCATTAATGTTGCCTCTGCCCTGGAAAACGGTGAACTAAAATCATTATGAAACCCTGCCGGGACTGGAGACTAATGCCAGGAGGAGACTAGGAAGGTGCAGGTTTGGTGGTTGCCTCCATATCTGTACTCAGCTGTCTCCTGGTCTGTGCAGAAGATGGATGGATCTGGAGAAAGACAGTCGATCATCGTGAGTTTAATCAAGTGGTTATTCCGGAGCATCTGCTGTCCCAGATGTGGTGCAGTAACTGCCACATCTCCTCAAACTCTGGTATTGTCAGTTGATATTGCAAATGCTTTTTTTCTCCATAATTGTCTATAATTTGCTCTCAGCTGACTAGTCCAGCAGTACGCCCTCACTGCCCTACCTCAAGCGTATGTTAATCTTCCAGCCCTGTATCACAATTCAGTTCCAGCTATTTCCTCTGTTTCACTCCCAAGGCTCTGACTTCTCCCTGGTCTCCTAGTCTCACTCTTTGTGAAGCATTTGTCTGTGTCTTAAAGGGAAGCCTTTCCTTCCCTTTATGCTGGTTTTGGATATTCCTACAGGGTTTCTCTGTATAGTTCTAGCTGTCCTGGACTCACTCTATATAGACCAGGCTGGCCTCCAACTCACTATGGCAGTGCCACCCCTGGGCTGGTGGCCCTAGTTTCTATAAGAAAACAGGCTGAGAAAGCTCGAGGAGCAAGCCAGTAAGCTGCACTCCTCCATGGCCTCTGCATCAGCTCCTGCCTCCAGGTTCCTTCCCTGCTTGAGTTCCTGTCCCAACTTCCCTCAGTGATGGAGTGTGATATGGAACTGTACATGAAATAAACCCTTTCCTCCTCAAGTTGCTTTTGGCCATGGTGTTTAACCATCATAATAGAAACCCTAACTAAGTCAGCCTGAATCAAAAGTAAGAGGGCTGTAGCTCTAGCTCTGTGGTAGAGCACTTGCCTAGAATAAATAGGTCTTTGCCTCCATTCCCAGTACCGGTAGTAAACAATAAGTAAAGCTTTGCCAACACAATACCTAAGCTGACTTACCTTCTCAGGCCATGAGATGTGTTTCTGAAACATTTAAGTCATCAGAATAATGCCTGAACAATGAGGTGTTGCATTAAAAACCGTCCCTGGTTTTCCACTAGGAAGAAGATGGCGGCATTAGGAAAACAAGCCCCATGTGCTGCTAGTCTATTCCCAGAAGGTCGCAGTTAAGAGTTCTAATTACAAAACATAGAAAAGTCCTACCCTTGAGCTAGTCAAGAGGGAAGAGCACTGTTGGGTCCTTATTCCCAAATGTTAACTGAGAGCACCCAGCATGAGCATTGTGCTGGAGGGAAACACCTGACAGTTAACACTCAAACTTGATAAAAGCTGCCCCTTCAGAGGGGAGGTAGCAAGGGGAACCACACCAAACCTGCTAGACCTGGTGTGGTACCTGAGTCAAAGGGGAAAGATGTTCATTAAATCACTACACCAACCATCTGAAGAAGCTAAGCACCTTGTCAGGCTCTGTGCTTAGAAAAAGAAAAGGGGGGGAGGAGAGAGGAAGAGAGAGCATGCACCCTACAGATCAAACCTGAGTCTTGACTAACTTCGGTCTCGTGAGGGGCATATACTGTGGAGTCCACAGAACGGTCAAAACACAAAGGCGCAGCTGCATTCAAATTAAGGGTTAGAAGATGAACTGTGGTTTCATTCAGCTCTTTATAAAAGAAATAAATCCAGGAAGCATTAAGTAGTAGGCGTTTCTTGCTGGACATTCAGCAGCACTTCTATTCTGGTGTGTGAGGGTTTAGTAGTTTGATATTCTAGTGGTCTATCCAGTCTCTCCATGCAGAGGACTCTACTGGGCCTACAAAACAGCCTTTAAATTCAGGCATCGTGGGATTTGAGGCCCAGTCAGTTCAGCACAAGATCAAAAAACATGTTTGTTTTTCAGAATGAAGTTTCATGGCTCTTCAGGTTTCAAAACGAAAGTCAGACTTAATAGACTCTATAAGCTAGCTGTGCAATGACAGGATAAAGAAACTCACAAAAAGCACCAAGTGCACAGTAGAACTCAGAGTCTTTTTTTTTTTTTTTTTGAGACAAGGTCTTCTCTATGTAGCCCTGGCTGTTCTGGAACTCAGAGATCCACCTGCCTTGTCAGATTTTAAATTTGAAGGACGATTGGGAAGTGCCCCTTTCTTAGAATTGGTGTAACCAAGGAAACGGGAGGTGGGGTCCAAAGCAGATCATGAAGGAGTCTGTCCGCATGGCCTGCAAGCCTGCTGAGGCCTCTCTGGCAAGCTAACAACTGGTCCAAAACAGGCCAGTTTCCCTCAGCATGGAGTTCCCTTTGCGAGCTGACTCATGACTGTGACAGCATCCCTGTTTCAATCCTTGCAACAGAAAACACCGTGTTACCCAGTTTTCTGTGTGCTTTCTTCTCCTACCACGCAAAGTAGGAAAGTGACTTTGAAATGGATGGTTTGGTATTTTCTGTGTGCTTCAGTCCTTTTGGCTCATAGAACACCAGTTTCAAACAAAAACGTGTTGCCTGACCCTGGAGCCCCAGAGACAATTAAGTTCTTTATGTGGGCTGTAATTGTGCCTTTTGACACCTGCCCCTGCCCCTGGATGGTGTAGAATCACATTATAATTTCCAGGCTTTTCTTCCCCCAGGTGGATCTCTAGGTCTTGGGCAAGACAAACTCTTAACAGAGACAGCAACACCAGGGCACAACGTCTTTAGAAAGGTCTGCTCCTTTCTGCGGAGTAGTGAATAAGGATGAGGATGGACAAGGGGAGCAGCCTGAGGAAAGACCATTCCAGTAGTTTAGTAACTTCTACGGTGAGAGTGCTCCCAGTGAGCTTCTCCCTTTCATCCTGGCAGGTGTGTTAGGCCAGAGGATCTTTAGGAAGTTTTTATTGAGGAAAAGAAGCCAAAGGTCACCCCACACCCCATCCCGCCCCCAGGAAATCTCCTGGTGGCCGCTCCTTTGCTTTTATCTCTAAAAACAATTCTCACACACTCCTAATGTTGGCTTACAGGCTCCTAAGAACCTGTAAAGAAAGTACTACTACTACTGTGAGAGGGACTTGAGGAAAAGGATTCCTGAGAGTTGGGACGGAGAGCGAAGAGGACAAAGGGAAGGGATATGAGGTAAACATACAAACGGTATGTTTACAAGAGGTAAACATGCGCACATATATGAAATTGTGAAAGAATAGCGATTTCGGCCTAGTATTACTATTGCACTATTGTGTGGCAATCAGAGGACAACTCTGTGGAGTCGGTTCTCCATCTTTACATTGGTCCAGGGAATTGAACTCAGGTCCCAGGCTTACCCGCAGAGCCATCTCTAAGGCCCTAAATTATGAATTTTTAACAGCAGTTTGTTCAATATCTGCATTACAAACAAATGAAATCAAGGATGGCGATGCAATTCCACACCATCCAGGAGCAGGGGCAGTGGTACCGGGGTGTCAAAGAGGCCACATTACACCCGATGCCCAGCGCAGATGCTCAACAAAGCTGATGCCTCCCTCCAGCGCCTGGGATGCGCTTGGTTCCCAAGAGACACCCCCAGATTCTCGTTCTTTCATCCGTACAGTGCGGGGTTTATTGTCACTTCTTGCTTTCGTTTACAAAACCTAATCGACCTGAGGCCGGTGCGTGTGCGGGCAAAGCTGGCCAGGGCGCCCCTAGTCGGCGGCCCGCGTGCGGTCCAGCACCAGCAGCGGGATCTCCTCCAGGCCCTCGGGCCGCTCCCCTCGCCGCAGGTAGCGCCGCCGCCACGTCGCCAGCCTCTGCAGCAGCCTCTGCAGGCCGGGTGGTCCCCACACACTGCGCTCCGGGGTCGCCGCGCCGGGCCGTGCGAACTTGCCCTTCTTCCGGCGAACCCCCCGGGCTCCGCGCGCGAACAGTCGCCGCCAGCACCAGAAACCCAAGCCCGAGCCGCTGTCACCGGTCGCTCTGCGCGCTGCCACCTCGGGCTCCGAGTGCCGCGCGCCCCGCTGCAAGCGCGCCACCTTCTCCAGCAGCTCGTGCTGCACGCCCCCGCGCCGCAGTCCCCGCGCCTCCGCCATGGGCTGGCCCGGAGCCCACAACTCTGGAAACCACCGGCCGTGCAGCAATGTGATGGCCTCCTGGACACCAGAGGACCTGCGTCCCTCCGCGGCCTTCAGGGGCTGTGTGCCCACAGTTGCCCCCTTGGGTTAGGTTGTCAAGGAAACGTGGAGGGTGACTCCACAATGCCAGCCTAGCTCTGGAGGAGCACCCAGAGACCCCAGGCATCCTGAGGTCCAGGAGCCAGTGCACAAAAGCCAGGCCCAGAGGCACGTGTGTAATCTCAGCACTCAAGGGTTCGAGGTCAGTCTAGGATATCGTGATCCCCTACCACAACCAAGAGAAACAGAAGAATCATTGTGATTTCAGATATGATAAGAAAGATATTGAAGGCCCCAAGGTCCTACTCTGCCTCAATATTAAGCAACATTGGACAGGGAGGGCCCTGGGTCTCTGGCTGAGCTGGCCTGGAGTTTTAAGCCTTATGGATTGCTTGTTGATATAGAATATGTATATAATTTAGTATATGTTTGGCAAAAAGCAAATGTACTGGGAATAAACTACTATATAATCCTCACAGGAAGTGATTCCCAAGTGAAGCAAGAGTTCTATTTTTACTGATTGAGAAAACGAGTTCAGAACGAGTCATCCCAAAATCTACCCTTTGGGCGAGCTGAATGTTTAATATTTAGAACTAAAAGAACCAGCTGCTTGGGAAAGCCTCATTAACTTTGCCTCAATTGCCCAATCGTGAAGTATGACCCTCTCATTTTGTGGCCTAAACTGATACTCAGGCCACTCTCTCTAACAAAGGTAAAAGCCTCCCAGAGACACCCTCCCCTCCCCTTCCCCCCTTGTAATTACCAAAGTGAATGGCACCTAAACCAGAGTGCAAATTAAAAGCACTTTAAGGTTTTAAAAGCGAAATGAATGGTGGCTGTGTATGGTGACACACATCTAATCCCCTGCACTCCAGAGGCTAAGGCAGGAGAATCATGAATTCAGGGCCACCCAAAGCTACACACTGAGATCCTGCCAAAGAAGAAAAGAAAGAAGAGAGAAGAAGGAGAAGAGAAGAAACAAAGTGTGAAAAAGAGAACACAGACCGTGACCACACCCACCTTTCCAATGGAGGCTGTGTGCTGGACATGTCATCCATGTGGGACCAAAGGACCCTCTCCCTGTTCCTTTCCACCCTCTAGGCCCTCCCTGTAGTCATTTTTCTGTGTGACTCCAGGTGCTAATGTAATTGAAATAGTTTTTCTCCTGTTAGTCTGTCTCATGTCAGTTTAACTCAGATCAGCTAAGAACCCCAAGGTTAGAAAGCCATTTCTCTTACATGAAGGAGCTGTGCTTCAAACTCCATATTCGAACCCCAGGACAGTACACTTCTGTGCTTGCTGTTGCATGTTCAGCTAGTCACTTCGCCTTTTAGGGTCTTCTAGTACACCCGGTCCCCCTGGGTGTTCCTAGCATACCACTGTGGTGGAATATTTTAAAGTGTGTGACTTTTGTTTATGCCACATTTGTTTAACTCTGTGAAGCTGTGATTCTTTGTCTAAAATACCTGATGGTCCTGATAAAGAGCTGATTGGCCAATAGCGAGGCAGGAGCAAGGATAGGTGGGGCTGGCAGGCAGAGAGGATAAATAGAAGAACAAAGAGAAAAAGGAAAGAAGGATGTTAGGGGCCGGTTACCCAGCAATCCAAGGAGTAAGAGAAAGATTTACAGAAGTCAGAGAACAGAAAAAGCCCAGAGCTAAAGATAGACCAAATCATTTAAGAAAAATGGGCTAGAAACAAGCCAAGCTAAGGTCAGACATTCATGTGGAGCTGGGAGGTGTGCCCCACAAAAGAGTAAAAAACATTTCTTGCTACACACCATGGTGGAAGTCATCTAGTGGTCCAAAAGCAAAGTAAGACAATAGGAAGAAATAAGACAGTAGGAAGAAGTAAGACAGTAGGAAGAAGTTAGACAGTAGGAAGAAGCTGCTGTATTTCATCCTTTGCAAGGCCTGGGCCTGGGGCTTGTGTGCTATCAGCTGGGCTCCAGCAGCCTTGGGCAGCCTGCCTCTCCACGTCTGACACCTCCAGCATACACAGTGCCCCTCTAGGATCAGCTTTCTCCATGTGCACAGCTTTCCTTACCCTTTGGGAATGAGGTCAGTTTATTAGGAGCAAAGGCCTTAAGGCCAGAATCAGGCCTTGAGCTGGGACATTAGAAAGGAACAAGAAGCTGGGCAGTGGTAGCAGATGCCTTTAATCCCAGGACTCAGGAGGCAGGCAGAGGCTTGGGGTGTGTGTGTGTGGGGGGGGGTAATCTCTGTGAGTTCGAGACCAGCCTGCTTTATGGAGTGAGTTCCAGGACAGCCAGACTTGTTACCCTGTCTTGAAAAACTGAAAGAAAAAAAGATTTGCCCTGTTTCATGGGGGGTAGGGGACTCTTCTTGGCTTTGAAGACTCTGGTCTCTGATATTCTATTAGGTTTATTACAGAACTGTGTTTCTTTTCTATGGAGTTTCTCAATCCCATCAAATCAACAGGTGCCCAGTGTTGGGCTACGACAAGGTAGGATGAGAGGCCTGCTTCTGCTTATGGCTTGGAGGAAGTAGAGTGTGTTCATCTTTGGGTTCCTACCAAATTGATATTGGTTATTTAAAAAAAGTAAGAGATAGGAGAGGGGGAAGAGAGCTGGGTGGTGATGCAGGATATGAAAACTGCCGGGCTTGTAGTGGACTGAACAAGAATGGCCCCCACATGTTTGAATGCTTGGTCCCTAGTTGATGGAACTGTTCGGTAATAATTAAAAGGCCTGGCCTTGTTGGAGGGGGTGTGTCACTGAGGTTAAGCTTTGAGATTTTAAAAAACCCAAGCCAAGCCCAGTGGCTCTCTCTTCCTGCTGCCTGCTGATCCAGATACAGAACTCTCAGCTACTTCTTCAGAACCATGTCTGCCTGTGTGCCCTGTTGCCAGCCTTCCCCCCATTATGATGAAAATGAACTAAACTTCTGAAACTACAAGCCAGCCCCAATTAAATGCTTTCCTTTATCAGAGTTGCTGTGGTCCTGGTGTCTCTTCACAGCAATAGAACACTAAGACAGACCCAGTAGCTGTGCTGCTGGGGATAGGCTCTGAGGTTTGAACAGACTCAGGCCATTGACTGTGTTCTCTGCTTCAGGATGTGGGCTCTCAGAAGCTCTTCCAGCACCATGCCTGCCTGCCTGCCGCCATGCTCTCATCTGTGATGGTCATGGTCTCCTGTTCTCCTGGAACTGTAAGCCCCAAATGAACCCTTCCTTCCAGATGCTGCACATGTGGGAACTTAGAAGAAAGCAGAAACATACTCATATTTACATAAATATGAATCTCTTCTTCATGTCTGAACCCTTTTCAAGCAAGGACATCCATCCTTTTTTGGTAGAACAGATGATATAACACGGTTTGTTAGGGTCATACAATGATGAACAAAGAAATTTAACAGAAATTTCAATCTCTCAGAATCAAAGTCAGCTTATACCTATGAATGAGAGAGAACCACTCCCTCTCTTTGGTGCATTACATAGTCATATCTTTATGGTGTGATCAACTGATTCTAGACTGAATATATATGTTGCCTATACTAAATATGCACAACCCACAGCCTTTTAAAAGCATTCCTCCCTAAACAAATCATTATAATGGTAGCAAATACATTACTGGTATCATAAGTAACCCAAAGGTGATTTGAAGGACATGGAAGAATTAAATAGATTATAATTGACTTTAGAATTATTCACAGACTCTGGCTGATATGCAGAGGGTTCCTGGAGCAACACCCCATGGATCCTGAGGGACGACTATGTCTAGTATTAGTCACTGATACAATGTGAGATAAAATGCCTGGTGGTGTCAAGGGCTAAGCATCCCTATGGCAGAAAGATGTGGTGGGTCATCAGAGCAGCAGCCCTCAGTGGAAAATCACTCTTCCTAGGACTCACAGTACCCGGCAGACCTTCTAAATTACTGTATTTTTACCTGATGGATGTTATTTCCATCTCTATTTTTAGCATTACATCCCTACAAAAGCATTTGCAGGAACAGAAAAACACATTGTCTTCGAATCTATTAAGCATGACCTCCTTACCTGGCATGTCAGAGATGAAACTGTAATTTCTCAGATTGCTTCTTTTTTAATATAGAATTTCTGGGAAGCAATCTTTCCATAGGGATTTTTAAATTATTTACTTATTTGTTTTGAGATTGGGTCTCCTGTAGCCCCAAACTGACCTTGAACAAGACCTTGAATTTCCATGATCCTCCAGTCTCTACCTCCTGCCTGTTGCGATTAAAGGAGTGCACCACCATGCCTGCTTTACAAGATGTTGAATATTGAACCCAGGGCTACCTGCCTGCCAGGCAAGCACTCTATGGGCTTAGACACATCCCTGCCTGGTTCTTTCTTCTTAACACTTTGTGGTTCTTTCTTCTTAACACTTTGTAACTGGAACATTCCAAGGTGTGTGAATTAAGTCATTGACACTTAGTCTTTTTTCAAGCACGAAGTTGTTGAGATGCTGGAAAAAAAAAAAAAATAGGATTTGGTTTTCCTAGACATCGAAATTTAAAGGGCATGGGAAGATCGATCAAGTTTGCAACAAAGTATCAACTAGGCAGGTTGGATTTCTACAGGGAAAACACTGTTTGCATTTCTATTTCCATGTAAATGATAGGACCCATTCTAAAATGAAACAAATAACCTGTGAGTCCCCTTAAACTCAACACGGCCCAGGCTCTGCTCTGGCAATATCAGCAGTGACAGTCCATGGACAAAGTCAGGCAGCGAGGTGTCAAGATTTAGGAAAATGAAATTCCCACATTGAAGGTTAACTGAGAAACAGAAGGAAGTGAGGGAGTGAGTTAAGTCAGCTTCTTATGCTATAATAAAATACCCAAGGAAAACCAACCTACAAAGAAGAAAGGTCTACTTTGGCTCATAGTTTTAGGGATCCCAAATAAATAAATATTATAATAAAACTGGGATTATTATATATATACAAGCACTGGTCCTGTTGCTTTGGGCCTATGGTGGGAACATAAGGAGTAATTTGGCCTCGTGGCCAGAAAGGAAAAGAACAAGACACTAGGCCCTCAATTCCTTCAAAGGTATGCTGT